AAAAAAAAAATGATTAGAAAACATGAAATGCAAGATAGAAGTTGAAACTACTTGCCTGTTGACGAGCAACCCAACAAAAACTGCCAGGTTGGAAATGTAAAAGTTTGGAAATTGCTTAAGTATGGATTTAAAAATACAATGAGAAAAAACACTTCACAGAATTACACACTTCTTACGCCGAGAAACGCCTCTCATTCTCTTGCGTTTTTCTTTACCTCGCTGCTCCTTATCCTTCCTGATTTCTCTCACCAGAGTATAAAAAGCATCATCAACTCCCATACGAGTTTTGGCTGATGTTTCGACAAATGGTATGTTATACTGACTAGCTATGGTTCGTGCTTGTTCCATGTCAACTGCCCATGCCTGTAAATCACATTTGTTGCCGACAAGAACCATGGGCACTTCTTCAGCATCTTTCACACGTTGAATCTGTTCCCTATAAGTGCCAATGTCTTCAAAAGATTTGGCACTGTTAACTGCAAAGACTAGTAAAAAGCCTTCTCCTGTGCGCATATACTGATCCCGCATGGCACTGTATTCTTCTTGGCCAGCAGTGTCAAGGATATCTAGCAGACACGTCTCACCATCAATGACAACCTGCTTGCGGTAAGAATCCTCAATAGTTGGGTCGTACTCGTCAACGAAGTGGTTTTGGATCAGTTGAATGGTTAGAGCACTCTTGCCTACGCCTCCAGCGCCGACTACCACTAATTTGTACTCCGTCATTTTTCTCGAAAATGAGAGGCACTTGTAAAACTTGATGAGGGACTGCAGTGGATCCAGACTGAATGTGTTGATGAACAGCCGGTTAGTTGATAGTTTTCTGTTTTTAGCAGAAAACGTCAAAATAGCTCACAGAACAACAGCGGCCATTTTCAAGGTTGAGATCTGTCTCCTCTCCTCACAGCCCTATAGTTTATTCAATCTAACGTTAATCTAAAGCAAAAAAAGTGAAGAACAAAAGTAAGAACGAGAATTGGAGCTGGAGCTGCGCTTGCGCACATGTTGAACTCTAGTAGGCCGTGACAATGCAGACTACGCGGGAAGTTTAAGAAGGGCTTCCTGAAGAATCCTTCTCAGGAGGTCACTTTTACCATGATAAGGATTTAGGCCATTATGCCATTTTTTGGTTCTTGAAATTAATTCCACACCCACTTGAGAATGTGACCGCACGTGAATGTAGTGTACATTTTGAAATCCGAAATCTAAATCACCCAGATTTAGGTCAAATGAATGGCAAGACCATGGAGTTAACAGAGTTATAGCTAGGTCCGGCATGATCTTAGCTTTCAGAGCCTTTTCCTCATTTTCTACTTGTTAGGATGTGTCCAAGAAATATGATGGTGCGATGATTCAAAAATTATTTAAATTTGTGGCTTACAAAATACTCAAGATGTGTAAGGGTAGGAATAATACTTCAGAGAATATTCACTTACAATAGTAACTTTTAATACTCACTTCAATGTTACAACCATTCCACCACGTCAACTTGATGGTTATTTGCCAACATTTTCAAACATAATATATATTTATTATATATTAATTTATGCAACTTTATTACATAGAAAATGACACAAACATTTACAAAGGTACGGCATATTTCATATTTACATTGTGAACGTAGTGGGTTTCACAAAATAAATAGATAGTAATGAAAATTTTAACAGAGTCTTGGCGATGCACGTGAACATGTCACTCTGTAATGTGTTGCCATAATATTTTAAGCTTCATGTGCTGCTTTTGTGTTTGCATTCACAATAAATTATGAGTCTATTGATGATAACTTATCAAGGAAAACCTACTTTTCTTAATCGAGAAAGTAAAACTGTAAAGCATTCGAGTAGAGGTAGAGGTCTCACAAAGTTTTGGGGGAGAATTAATGTTATTACTCCATTTGCACAGACTCTTTTGGATCAGCTGGTTTAAAATTTTCCACCTGTCAATGATGGCTTACATTTCCAAAACAAAATTTGAGATGTAACTTTTTACTTTAGTTTAAAACATTTTTCTTAGCAAATAATCTTTGGTATTATTGATTGTGTGAAACAACAAATAGCTTTCATAGAGACTTACAAGTTATGACTAAGAGTACAAATTTGCTTCCTGCTTTGTGCTTTAATAGTTTCTCTGAAAGAATGCATTTCAATAAGTATGAATAAGTAAATAGAGAAGAGCAAGTGTTAGAACATCCTACAGGTATCTTAACAAAATTTTATTTTTACAAAAAAAGGTAACATAACACAATAATTTACAATCATTTCTTGACATGATAAGCATTATTGCGCTCTAAAACTTCCACAAAAAAACCACAACAATAACAACAATAATAACAAAATGCTGAAATTTACCTATTGACGATTGTGTACATGTACACACATTAAGGCTGCAGTGGTATAGGCTGTTTTAAAAGTAGAGGGTAAAATGAAAACAAGAAGAAAAATATGATTTGAAGAGGTGAAGTGAAAATGAAATAGGAGGAAAGACAGAATACCTATATTGAGATGGAGATAGAGAGGACTGTTTATAATAATTAATCTAAACATACATTCACTGAATAATAATTCTATCACAATGGCGATGAGCTAGGTAGATACCTGTAGCCCTTCTTGCTCTGCGTTGTTGTTGTTAAGGGCGAGGTCTGCCTTGGCTAGGCTGCTCAGGCTGTCGAAGGCCAGAGCCTTCTGAACGACCATGGCAAGTGGCGAGTCCTGCGGACTGCGTCGCTCATCTCTGTCCCGGTCCGCATCGTCCCTAAAGCTATGCAGGCTCTGCGCTGCATGCTGGGCAAGGCCCTGAGCTAGTCCTTGGGCAGTGGCGGCGTAGAGGTGCGGAGGAAGGGAGTCGTTACCAGAGTACGTCACTTTGCCCATAAAGCTTCGGATCTCGTCGAAGTAAGTGTCCTCGCGCTCATTCTCATTTGAGCTTCCAGGACTATCTGCCACGCCTACAGAACCGTCGTCCGTCTCGTGCTTCTTGAGGTGGCGGTCCAGGTTGGTCTGCTGTCCGAAGCAGCGCGCGCACAGCGGGCACTTGAAGGGCTTCTCCTTGTGGTGGATGTTCCGGACGTGCCGCTGCAGGTTAGACGAGATGCTGAAGGAGCGCTCGCAGAACTTGCACTTGTAGGGCTGCTCGCCCGTGTGCGTCCGCAGATGGCGCGTCAGGTTGGCGGACCGCGGGAACACCTTCCCGCAGAACTTGCACGAGTACCTGTCCTTGAGCTTGTTGCCGGTTTGAGAGGGAACCTGCGCCTGTCCTGGAGCACCCGCACCCATGCCGGCGCTACCCCCTAGTACGTCCCGACCCGACCCGAAGTCGCCCATGGGCGGGCGGAGGAGGTGGTCGAATGGCGGCCGGTTGGCATTCCCGGCGAGCCCGTTGGCCAGGCGGTTCAGCCCGTTGGTCAGCGGCCCGAGGAACGGGTAGTGCTGTGGCGGGCCGAAGGGCGGGGGTGGGGGGTGCAGCAGACGGTCCGCCGCGGACGACGAGTTGGACCCCGGCGGGTTGAAGCCAGAGAAGGGCGGCGAGGGCCGGTACATGGCCTCCAGGAAGATGGGGTGGATGGGCCGCGGGTAGGCCATGGTGTTGTTGAGGGGGTGGCCCGCGGGTGGGGACAAGGCGGCGGTCGGCGAGGAGGCTGTGGTTGAACTGATCTCCTTGTCGGCCTGGCCGGAGCTGAGGGGAGTCCTCGGTGTGGTTGCAGTCAGCTTTGGGGACGGTGTGGCCGAGGCCCGGCGCAGGGCTAGGGGGCTTCTCTGGTGCCGTCGTTCGTCTCCCTCGTCGGCCGAGGCCGACGCAGACGCCGCAGAGGCGGGCCGCCGTCGCTTGAAGCCGACGCTGAGGTCGAGCGCCTGCTCCTGCTCGTCCTCGTCGTGCTCGTCGTCTCCGCACCGCGACCGCTTGCCCACCGAATCGTCATCCCGGGGACTCCGGCTGCGGCTCGACAGGTCGCGCCCTTCGCGGGCGTCGTCCTCGTCGTCGTCCTCAGACGCAGCCCGGTGGCGGTGGTCGGAGTACGCGCCCTGGTACGCCTTGGCGCTGGTGAGCGGGCGCGCCGGCGACGGCGTCTCCTTGTTGGCGGCCTCCTCGGCCACGGGCGGCGACACCTTGCTGCTCTGGGGCTGCTGGCCGCGGGACGGCGGCAGAGGGGCGGGCGGCGGCGTCATCCAGTCCTTGGAGGCCGTCGGCGAGGGGATGCCGCCCTTGGTGAGGGGCGGCGGCGAGTCGGCGCGCTCCCTCTCCCGCTCCCGCTCGCGCTCCCGCTCCAGCAGCTTGTGGTGCTGGGCGAACAGCTGCAGCGGGGAGCCGAGGAAGGGGGCGCCGTGGCCGGCGGCCCCCGGAGGCGGACCATGGGGGCCGTGGCCGGCGGCGGCCGACTGGAACAGGCCCGGGTAGAAGGCGCCGGGGTAGAAGGGCGCCCTGGCGTACATCAGAAAGGGGGACGGCTGCTGCTGCGCCATGGCGCTGCCCGCGCCGGGGGTGGAGGCGCCCGAGTGGCCGGTGGCGGTCGGGGAGCCGCTCGAGTCGCAGAAGCGCTTGTGCTTGTGGAGGGAGGTGACGGTGCTGAAGGCCTGGCCGCACTGCGTGCACTTGATCTGCATGCGGCAGTCGGCGTGCATGCGCTTGTGCCGGCACAGGTTGGAGAACTGCGTGTACGCCTGCGGAGAGACACGGTGTCGTTAAAACGAGCGCCACAATCACAATCACAAAAGAGCAAACGGTATCGAGCCTCACCTTGAAGCAGACCTCGCACTGGAAGGGCTTGACGCTCGAGTGGATGTGCGTGTGCTGCTTGAGGCCCGAGGAGGTGGCGAAGGTCTTGCCGCACTCGGAGCAGGCGTGCGACCGCGCGCCCACGTGGTGCGAGCGGATGTGCCGCTGGAGGTTGGACGGGTCCGAGAAGACCTTGGAGCAGTTCTCGCAGGGGTAGCGGCGCGCCTCCGGGTCGCTGAGCGGCCGCGCGTCCGGGTGGGCGAGCGCCTTGTGGCGGTAGAGCGCCGGGCGCCAGGAGAAGGCCCGCGGGCAGAAGCCGCAGCGGAACTGGTCGGCGCGGTAGCTGTGCGCGCTCACCAGGTGCTCGTCGAGCCTGCAACAGGAGGAGGGAGAGGGCCGCGGTTAGCACGCCGCTGATGACTGAGAGCGCCGCGTGCGTGCGCCAGGTGTCGCGCGCCGGCGAGGTGAGAACACTCATTTTGCTGGTCAGAGGCTCATTGCGCTGAATAATAAAAACAAAATATGGAAAGTAACGCGTCGGGTGCCACACTGATGGTGGTGGATCAATGAGCGGCCGCGCCACAACCTGCGATGGTTCCCAGCAACATCCCTCTCTCTCCCTCTCCGCTACCACTCTATCGGTACAAGAGTCGCCGGGTAAAGGGGGGAGGGGGGTAATGTCGTGCCCCAAATTCACGCCCCCCCCTCTCTCTCTCTCCCCCGCCCGCCCGCGAGTCCACGAGGCGCCGCACCGTGAGACATCATCGGGGGGCGCCCAGCCCGGCGCCCAGCGGCGGCTAACTACAAAACAGCCCTAATGACGTTCGGCGGGGAGGATGTAGTCGCGTGACACGCCGCGGGCAGACGGGCGGGGCGCGGCGGGCACCCGCGGCCGTCAAGAGGACGGGGCCGCGGCTTCTCCAACGCCCGCGACACCTCGTGGCCCGCTCCACCACGCCTCGCCAGATCATCCCCAGCCCGCCAGCTTATTTACAATCCCTTGGCGATTCAGCACCTTACGGCAAATTCGGATGTACGCAGCCTAGACAGCGGCCTGCCGGTTTGGAGGACAAACGTTAGGTTGGGTTAGGCTAGGTTAGGTTAGGTTAGGTTAGTTTAGTTTAGGTTGTCTGCGTGGGTACGATCAAAATAGGGCTACAGAGT